GGCAGTGGGGCCAGGCCACTATGCAGGGCCTGCGGAAGGCAGCAGTTATGTGCCGTGTGTTCCAGATGGGGTACAGCATAGGGACAAAGGTCCTCGGGGGGGCCGGGCACAGTCCTGGAGAGACGCCAAGGCCAGGGCCAGGGCCAGGGAGGGGACAGTCCCTTGAGGCCTGGATGGCTAGGGAAGTGGTCCAGCAAGGCAGCCCTCCATCCCCCCGCTTTCTTTCTGGCCTGCCTGGCTCCCTAAGGACCGGACAGCTGGCCATACACCTGGTAGCTGGCTCCCCCTGCAAGGCTAGGAATCCTGGCTCTTCTGAAGGCAGAGCAGGTTAAGGGCCCCTTCTTCCCCCAACCATGGCCGAAGAAAGGCTCCTGGAGCAGCCAGGCTGGGCCAAAAGAGGAAATGAAGAAAAATGGAAACTTTTCAGCCCAGAGCTGCCAATCAAAGCAGGGGAAGTGCAGGCAGTCTCTTGTGACAGAGCCGTGTGGGGCTGGGGGCGGACAGGCCGTCAGCTAGTGGCCTATCCACTCCCACTACTGCCCGCCATGAGCTGCCAGACCGAACTTCACATTTCACCTTGCCTGGCCCTCCTCAAAATACAGAGCCCAGCTTTCCCTGCTACCCCCAGAGCCCCACCGTCAGCCCAGATAGTGATACCCACCGATACCCACACTGCCCGCCTCTACCTCCCTACTTCTTCTGTCTCTGCAGAGGAAGAGCAGGAAGAGACAGAGCTGAGGGACAGACCTTCTCACCTGGAGACTGCTCTGCGGTCAGGAGTCAATGGGGAAAGCCTTGATCTCCCTGGACCTAGCCCCAGCCTCCCACCAGGGAGCTGTGACAGGGCTATGGCCTTGCCAGCACTCGAGAGGGCTTCCCTGCCTGCCATGGCCCTTCTCTGGTGGATGTGGCCTTCCTCCCCACTGCTGGGACAGCCACAGGATGACAGGTGTCCCCTCACCAATGCCCAGCTGGACAAGTTTCTTGCAGGAGCCCCCAGGTCCAGTCAGACTCAACACCTCCCTATTGGGGACCCCTCACATGGCTTCTCTCCTCTCTGTGGTCCTAGCTTTAAGTTCTTGGGTTTAAAAATCCTGTTAAGTGGGGTGCTTCCTCCTGTTCCTTCCCTCCCCCAGCTGACTCATTCCTCCTGCCATTTTGGCATGTTACCTATTCCAGGAAGCCCTCCCTGATTCAGAAAATTGGGTTAGGCATCTCCTCAGTGCCCACAGCTGCCCTCTGTTATGCATTCTGCTGTACCTGAAGGTTTCTCTGCCTGTCTCCATCTACACTGAGAAGTCTACACGGGCACAGAATCATCTTGTTCCTCATCACTGGATCCCCAGCTTGGCCCCAAGACCCGTACAAGTTTGGCCCCCAGCAAATATTTGCTGAATGAGTATGTCCACCCTTGAGGCCACAAGCTAATAAGACATTTCCTCCAACTGATCCTCAGCCTTTGGCCCATGAAAGAAAAAGACAAGAAAGAACACGAAACTTGAGGGTTTCCCCTGACTTCCCAGGTTTCAATTTCTCCTCCAGATTTCTCGAAATCTAAGACTTAAACCAGTCACCACAGATTCTGCCCAGCCCCTCCCATCCCAGAGATGGGAGACATTAGTTCAGAAATCCTAAGACATTAGATCTCAGAAGAGGATGAGCCCCCTTCTGCTACCCTCTTTGGGCACTGGGGGAAACTGAGGTTCAGTAGAGGCAAAGACTTGCCCAGAGTCACAGAGCCAATTAGGTCACAGCCTGAACCAGGCTCCGACCTCCCAGCTCCTTCCCTCTACCACGGCCATCCTTGGGCCTGTGCCAGCATCCGTTCCAGCAGACCTGCTCTCAGAATCTGCACTGTCCAGGACAGAGGGGTCCCAGAGCTTGGTAGGAAGTTCCTGGTGACCTCACTGAGCATCTCTCTCAGCTTAGGAAACTCCCCCTCTCCTCTGAGGAATTGCCCCCCCTCCATGACGCTCTGCAGAGGGAGTTCACCTTGAAGGTGATAAACACATCTAAGTCCCCAAGGGGGCAAGGATTTCCACTGGAAATGCTGATGCTTGGGGAGCCCCAGACGTGTCCTCATCCCGTGGAGGAGGTAACAACAACCTCCTGCCCTGGAGAGCAGCCCCAGAATGGCTCCCCAGCAGCCACCAAGTCAACAATAACATCCCGTTGTTTATTTGGACAAAAGAGAGGGAGGGCAGAACCAGCCGGGCAGGTCGAGACTGAGGATGTGGCTCTGTTTCCCCATGGACAGGCTGGCTCACCCCTGACCTTGGGGTTCAGGACTTTCCAAGCCTTCTCTAACTCCTCCAACAACTGATAAAATGGGGGAGGGGTGCACAGCTGACACGGGCATGCCAACCTTCTGCTAGGTCCTACCCCTCACCTACAATCTATTCCCTTCCAGTCCCTGCTTGCAGGAAGACGAGGACCATACAGGCACACCCTTGACTGGCCCATGTGGCAGTGACAGCCCTTGGGGGACAACCCCCAGGGTCTTTCTTGCTCTGGTAAGCTCTAAGGGTCAAAGACAGGTGCAGAGCTCAAGGACACCCGGCAGGTACGTGATGGCCCATCCATCTCCCTGGCCTGAGCTACACTGTGCCAGACTTTCATCAGGCTGCAGAGGCAGCAACCTCTCTGATCAGTGCAGGCTGGCCCCCTTTCAGAGTTCCCGGTCTTAATCTTTCCCTAGAACTTGGAGATTCAAGCAGCAGAAAATAAAGAACTTTCCATATCTATTCCAGTCCCCACAGCTGTCCTGACTCAAAACTAAAATCCCAATCTATGCCTCATAGAGAAATGGCTCCAGAACCACCACCATCCCTGATTTTGTCATTCCTGGACACCACCATACCCCCACCCACCCACTGGTAGACAGAGCTCTAGGCTTCCAGCAAGACCCCCCTCTTACCCTATTCCTGGGTTTGTCCTACTCAAGCCCATTCCTGTCCGATTGCCATGTGTCACCCCACAGGAGGCAGGAGGCAGCTGTCAGTCGGGCAACCATCACCAGCTGGTGGCCCTGGGCGTGGGGGGCAGGTGAATGGCAGGGCCTGTCTGGCCAGTGGGGCACCTGGCACTGGTGAAGGAGACCACAGGCTGTCGTTAGACAAGACTGGTGAGCGGTTGGCAGACCCTGGCCAGTGGGGCTCAATAGTGCATTGCTAAGCAGAGGGCACGGCCAGTGTGGCTACAGCAGTGAACTGCAGGCAGGGGAGGCAGGGCATGGAGCTGGGCTGGGAGCTTCGAAAAGTGGGTAAGAGGACTGCGAGCAGCTTTAGCCTCGGGGTGGAAACTAAGTGCCCAGGATGCGATATGTGTGTTAAGTGCTAAAAAGTGGGTATGCATTGAGTGGGGTGGGGTGGGGGGTCACGGGAAGACTGTGGGACAGGCACACAGAGCCATGATGCAGGGAAAGATTCCACAACACCCAGACATGGCCATTTGTCCCCTCCAGAGTGCCCACACGCTATGATGTCCAAGACAGCCAAGGGGAGTGAGGTAAGGCAAAGCTGCTGGGAGGGTAAAGGAAGCCTGGGCTGGAGCTGGGATGGCAGAGGGGTGTGCGGGCCTCCTCCATGCACCCCGGCCAGAGCTCCAGCAGTGCTGCTCAGCTCCCTCCAGGAGCACCTCAGGCTGCGTAGCCGGAGCTGGTCCCCAGAGCACCTCATTCAACGTCCCAGAACCATTTACATCCTTCTCCCCTCCCTAACCCAGAACCCAGACTGGTCCGGTGGCAGATCAGAGCCCCTGCCTGCACCTGAGCTCCCACACTGCTCAGTGACCTTGGGCAAGTCACATTCCCTCAGCGACTGCGGCAATTCTGGCCACTCGTTTTGTGTGTGGTTTTTTTTTTCCCCTCTGCTAATAATACCTGCCCCAGATAATGCTCAGACTCCCGCAATCCCTGCAAACTGCCAAAGGCATCAAAAGGCTCCCGGTGGGGCCAGATCCGACCAGTCCCCCAGCCCCCACAGCGAGTCCCCCACCACCACCACAGGGGGGCCGCAGAGACGTCAAATTTGGGGACAGAGCCGAGTCGGCCTGGGGGCGGGGAGGCATTTGTGTGCAATGCAGGGGAGGAAAGATCAGTTCCTAGCGGCAGAAAGCCTCAAACCCCAGCCTAGCCGGCTTTCTGTCCCATAGCACAGGGTCTAAACTGAGGTGCCCTGGGGGAGACTCCGGTCCCCCGGGTTCTCATATCTACCCTGGCCTAAAAGCTGCACCCCCGACCAAGATCCACTGCCTGGGGGTCCTAACGGCTGTGCCCCACCCAATGGGCACTGACCCCCAACGCTGGAGGCGATTTCTGGTGACAACTGCCACGTGCGGGCAAGGGGGGTGCAGCCGGTCCCGGCATTGCAGAAGCAGCGCCCGGGTACCCCAAGCCCCCCAGCACCGCACCACATCCCACCGCCTCGCCGCAGGGTGCCCACCCCCTTGTCTGGCCCGCGCTCCGGGCCGGGGCGGGGGCGGGGGCAGGCGGCGGGGTCTTTGTTCCCGCTGCCGAAGCGCAGCGGCGGCGACGGCGGCGGCAAAGGGTCCGCGCCCCCCTCACCGGCCCAGCCTGCGCCCCGCGCGCCAGCAGAGCCCGCAGCTCAAGAGGAGGGGGCCGAGGTTGGGGTCCCGGGTGGGGAACCTCCAAGGCCCCCGCGCCAGAGGACCCAGAGTGGCTTAGGGCTGAGAGAGGGGCCCGCCCCCTCCCCTGGCGCCCGGGCGTTGCGGCTCCCGGCTGCCAGAGACTTGGAGCGACTTAGCCTGGGCTCCGGCCCCCGCCGCTAGCTCGCCGCAGCTTTACAGCCGGCTCTGGCGTGCCAGCGCACACACACACACACACACTCACCCAAACCCACACGCTCCACGCGAGGACAGCACAGGGACAGCCCGGGACCCGCAGAGCCGTGCGCACGCACTCCCTCCGGGTGCAGCACACTCCATACCCGCCCCGCGCAGCGTCCGATCCCGTGCCCAACCCGCCGCGCGCCGCCGCCTACCTTTCCAGACGGCGAAGATGCGGGGTCCGCTCCTCGGGTGGCCTTGGGCGGAGGCGGCGGCTGCCCAGAGCAGCAGCAGTAGCCGCAGCAGGAGCCCCGACCGAGCCGGCGGGCCAGGGACGCGGGCGCGCGGTGCGCTGGGGGCGGCACGTCCGGGCGGAGGAGGCGTCATCCCGCGGCCCCGGGAGCGACAGCGGCAATCAGCCGAGACTGAGCCAGCGCCCGGCCGCAGGCAGACCCAAGCGCCAGGAGGCGGAGCCAGCGCTGACCCCACCCCGCCCCGCCCCCGCCCCTCGCAGCCTTTTCTCGCCTTCCTGGCTGTCCTGAGCTGGAGCGGAGCTTCTCGGGGAGCCTCAGCCACCCGCTCCCGGGCAACTCCACGGGGAGAACCCGGCTGCGGACAAGCCAGACTTGCGGTCTTCTGCCAGGAACGGCAGGCCCTATCCCCTCTCTGGACTTCCGTTCCACTGCACGCACCCCATAAAAAGATCGGCCTAGAAGTCGTGGAGGACCTCTCCAAGGGCGCAGAGGAGTCCAACACCCAACAACCTTGCTATGTCCAGCTAAGTGGTTCGCTCCCTGAGGACTACGGTCCTTGGAGAACGGGTTCGCCTGAGTGGACACGGCTCCCTGCTGAGCCTACCAGCAGGCACAACGATGATGTGTGGGGAGCACTCAGGGACCCGCTATTGCTGTGCCAGGGAGAACACTGGAAATTTTTCATCTTGGCCTGGCTCCTTCCCCTCCCTCTCCTTTCTCCTCCCTTCCCCAGCCAGCAGCCTTCTGGGCTGCCTCCCCCCCAGCCAGCTGGTGTACTCTCAGAAAATCCAAACTCATTTCCATGTGAGTGGAGGGGGATATAATTAGGAAAGCCCCTTCCCCAAGTAGAAAGGGGAGCATCCCCCATGCCCGACTCACTGTGGGGGAGGGAGGGTCAGAGCAGCTTAAGGGATCTCTGCCTGTAAAGTGCTTGGCTATCTCAGGCAACCTGACCATTCAGTGGGGACTCCCTGGGGAGATCCAGGCCCAGACCCCCTGCAGTTACCTGAGCAGCCCAGCCAGCTCTGCCCACAGCTCCTCCTCCCAGCACCACCTGCCTGCCCCTTGTAAAAGGGTCTCCTCTCTCAGACCAGAGAGGGCCCAGACCTACCACCTCCGCTTGTGCCTCAGGGAGCCATGAATGGAAAATCCACCCAGCTCAGTAAGTGCTTATCTAGTGTTTACTGGATGTGTAGCCCAAGGAGGGCTGCACTGAGAGGAGACAGGCTGAGGAAGGAGCAGAGGTGAATATCCAACCTTCAGAACTCACAGACCGAACTATGATTTGCCTACTGCAGACACTAGTGAAGGTAGTGGGTGGGCTCCCCTGGCTGCCCTCTGCCCTGCTCCGTGGGCCCGGGACTGTTCTGTTGTTGTTTTTACCTCCTGGAACCAGGAAAGTTTTGCTACCAAGAAGTTTGGCTTTCTCATTCTACATTTTGCTTCCAGTTGTCCCCTCCTTCTTTCCTGAGAACTCCAAGGCACCCCAGCAGGCCAGGAAGATAAAATCAAGGTACAGAGACAGTGCAGAGCAAGGTTCCTGGTCCACTGGGAGGAGCCAACAGCCTCATAATGCCCAGGGGCACACTACCCCAGAGAGGGAGGCTGTGGACGGTCTAAGAGCTCCTCACCAGACCTGCATCTAAGCCTGTGCCCCTGAAGCCAGCAGTGCAGCCTGACCCAGGCCAGCCTCTAAGATGGACACTCAGTTTCATGTGCTACACAGGTATGGCCCCCAGTGTCTGTCCTCTCTATGCAAAGCTTGGGCAAACTAAGAAATCACCTGTCTCTGCCTTTTGGAACTAAGAATTCAAATGGATTCAAAATCAATGATAACATTGCCCATGTGCCTGGCAACTCACAACACGTAACCCACATTCACCTACATCATCGCTGCCAGTCCTCCACTCTTCCTCTCACTGAGGGAGGAAGCATAACTCCATTTCAGAGAAGAAAACTGAGGTATAGGGAGGGGCAGGGACGGACCTGCCCAAGGTCAACTGGTAAATGGTAGAACGAAGATGGGTTTTCTGACTGCAGTAACAATTGCTAACACTGCGTGCTGTGCCATCTCATAGCCTCATCTGAACTCAATCCTTACACTCCTATGAGGTAGAAACTATTAGTCACCTTCCTTTACAAATGAAGAAATCAAGGCACAGTCCAGGGATGTGAAGTGCCAGGATCACACAACTGGTTAGAGGCAGGACGGATTGGAATTCAGGTGGTTTCTCAAGGGCCTGCACCCTTGACTGTGGCTGAAGTCTGGGTCCAAACTATCCCCAGAAGGACCTAGACAGGACCCAGGTCACCAGGTGGTGGGCAGGAGGGCAGATCAGGGAATGGGCTCAGTCTCCCAATCAACAGAGCAGCAGATGGAAACTGGGGTAGATGCCAGATAATTTTTTTCCAGACTTGGGGGTGGCGGGGAAGGAAACAGTGCCGAAGACCATCCTTCCCACAAGTCAGCCAACCTGCGGACAAAGGGCCAGGCCAGATGGCAGCCCACTCTCTTGGTTGGCTGCAGGCAGCCAGGGGAGGAGAGAGCTAGGCTCATGACTTGAGGCAATAGCTTTATAAAAGGAAAGGCAGCTAGACTGTGGGGCAATAGCGAGGAGCAGGCATTATCACCAGAGTTTAGGCATGGACTTTCTTGCCTCAGGCAGCATAGGAAAATCAAGTCAGAATGGCATAGGTGGTATCAGGGGCCTGCCAGCCTCACTGGAGGCCAAGGCTGGCTCTTGAGCCTGGACGGAGAACAAGGGCACAATTCCCATACACAGCCAGTGATGGGAAGTGGACCAGCAGTGGAAGCAACAGATGTGGATGCTGACATGTCTGACGGGGAGGCACATTCTTGTCCCTCCCTTTCCCGTGAGTCCACATTCAGGGGAGGGAAGAAGGCTTGGAGAAAGAAATGGTGCAGGGCTTCTATCTCTAAGAAAAATGCCTTAGGCCGGGCGCGGTGGCTCA